ATAAAAGAATATGTCTTATTTGTGTATAAATAAATAAATGAAATAAATAAAATGAAATACAATGTAACATCGCTTTATGTTTTTATTTTTCTATATTCGCTAATATTGTACTTCATTACCCTTAAAAAATCGTAAAGAAAATATAATTTACGTTTACATCCAATACATTTCCACCACCGCCATTCAGGTATTTGTGCTATGGCATATAAGCCGATAATGTTGACCAGTAAATCAAATGTGCACACCTCTCTTGCATTTGCTTATACCCTACTTTGACAGCAGTAAACAATTTTTACTGTCCGAATAAAACTTCAGATCGTAATGTACGACCCATTACTGAATATATATTCATTTACGACACACTTGTTTGAATTGACGAAAACTAAATGTATAAAGAATTCTTTAGATGCTTAATTTCTTTCATCACAAACATCGTCCAGTGTTTTTATAATTTTACAGAAGAAGAAAAAACTTCTTATATCATTTTCTTGAAGTATTTCGCAAATTTTTTAACAAAACATTTTGCGTGTTTAAAGTAAAGTAAAACTCCATACGAATAAGGATTTGATCTTTATCGATCTTCATTTCGTATATGTTTTGCCGGATTTTCAGTGCCTCTTTTGGACGTAGCAAATTTTGCTTGTTCGGTGCGCATAAGAGAAAACTTTTGACTGCCATTCACCTTGGAGTGGCCAAAAGCGATTCTTGTGCGTACGGTTCTAATCGCAGCTTACATCGTTCGGATATTTATATCCACGTATCCTCTGAGTAGCAACCAAACACCCGTTTGGGAGCGAGTTAAAGTGAGAAGGCGTAAAACTTCGCGTGCGCTGGGTTTGGGTCCCGCTACGTTAAAACCCCGCTCAACGAAAAAGAACAAACAGCCTCGGATGAGACCCCCTTTTTTGATGACGACCACGGCAAACATATAAAGGGCTATAATTTAAGGGTATGCACATGGAATAACGGGACCTTAATCAGAAAGGTGCCTCTGCCCGGCTGGTTGATGTCCTCGGGAAGACAAAGGCTGACATCACCGCCATCCAAGAAATGCGATGGACGGGGCAAGGAAAAGTAAGTGTGAAGCCTTGCGACGTCTACTACAGTTGCCACGTACAGGAGCGCAGATTCGGTGCTGGATTCGTTGTATGTGAGAGACTGCGTCGCCGAGTACTGGCGTTCACCCCGATGGACGAACGTCTAGCCACAATCCTCATCAAAGCGAGATTCTTCAAAATCTCGCTAATCTGCGCCCATGCACCGACGGAATAGAAGGGCAAGGCGACCAAGGATCTCTTCTATGAGCGCTTAGAGCGCACATAAGAGCGCTGCACGCGACACGGATGTTAAAATCGTGCTCGGCGATTGTAGTGTCAAGGTGGGGCTGGAAGGAATCTTTGGTGCCACTGTCGGAAAATTCAGCCTCCACGACGAAACGTCCGATAACGGACTGAGGCTGATCGACTTCGCCGGGGCCCGAAACATGGAAATATGTAGTACTAGGTTCCAGCATAAGAACATCCACCAAGCTACATGGCTGTCTCCAGATCGAAAAACGAGAAACCAAATCGACCACGTTGTGACAGACGGAAGGTATGCTTCCAGCGTTTTAGACGTACGTACACTCTGAGGGCCAAACATCGACTCGGACCACTATCTTGTTGTAGCCAAGATACACACCCGCAGCAAAAAATGTGCGCCCAACAATGTAAGCAAAGCTTAAAGTCGAAAAGCTGCAATTACAACAGACGGCCAATTTATTCGCCACTCGACTTACACACCAGCTCTCTGAGAGCACTCTTCAACAATCCGACATAAGCGAGTAGTGGAACCACATTTCCCGATCATTAAGTACCGCCGCCGAAGAAGTAGTTGGATTTCAGCGAACCCGAAAGAACAACTGGTACGATGAGGAATGTCAAGAAGCCGTGGAGAAAGAAGACGCCGCCTACAGGGCCACGCTGTGATCGGGTGCAACGCGAGCCATGTGGGACCGTTATGGGAAACTGAAGAAGGAAGCGAGACGTATTTGCCGCAATAAGAAGAGAGAGGCCGAAATACGTGAGTGCGAAGAGCTTGAAATGCTAGCCGACAGGATAAACGCCCGAAAATTTTACCAGAGGGTTAGGCGACTTACGGAAGGTTTCAAGACCATAGCGAACTCCTGTAAGAACAACAATGGCGACCTAGTGACCGATATCCAGAATGTACTTAAATTATGAAGGGAACACTTTTCCACCCTACTGAATGGTAGCAGCGCTGAAATTAGTGGAGAAGACGAACCCGAGCCCCCAGTCGATCACGATGAAGTCGATGTTCCATCACCTGACTATGACAAGGTACGAATAACGATAGTGCGTTTGAAAAACAACAAAGCTGCTGGAGCTGACAGCCTGCCAGCTGGGCTATTAAAGTACGGTGGCGAGGAGTTGATAAGGTGCATGCATCAACTCTTATACAGAATATGGTCAGATGAACGCATGCACGACTGGCATTTAAGTGTGCGCTCTGCCCAATCCACAAGAAATGCGACCCCGCCATTCGCGCCCACTCCCGCGGAATCAGCCTTCTAAGCATAGGTTATAAGGCCTTATCGAGTGTATTGTGCGAAAGACTGAAGCCCACCGTCAACGAACTGATGGGACCTTATCAGTGTGGCCTGGCAAATCCACCATAGATCAAGTATTCACAATACGCCATATATTGGAAAAGACCCGCGAGAATAGGATCGACACACACCATCTATTTGTCGATTTCAAAGCCGCTTTCGACAGCAGGAAGAGAAGTTGTCTTTATGCCACGATGTCTGAAGTTGGTATCCCCGCGAAACTAATACAGCTGTGTAAAATGACGTTAAGCAATACCATCAGCTGCCTCAGAATAGGGAAGAACCTCTCCGAGCCGTTTGATACCAAACGTGGCTTCAGACAAGGGGACTCCCTCTCGTGTGATGTCTTTAATCTGGTATTGGAGAAGATAATAAGAGCCGCAGAACTGAACCGCTTAGGCACAATACTTTACAAGAAGTTATAATTGCTGGCCTATGCCGACGACATCGATCTTATCAACAAAAACAAGGGCTACGCCTGTTCTACCTTCTCGGGATTGGATAGAGAAGCAAAGCGAATGGGTCTGGCGGTTGGTGAACGAGGACAAAACGAAGTATCTCCTGTCCTCACACAAACAGTCAGAGCATATGCGTCTTGGCACCCACGTTACTGTTGATTTTTATTCTGATGACTACGTAAAGACTGTACCAAAAAGAAACTGCACACATTCAAATTCAAATTTATTGAAAAGTAGACGCTTGATAATTTTTTTTGTGCAAGAAATATACATGTGTAACATGATTCAATAATAGAAAGGTTTTATAATAAAACAGTTTTCTCGCTCCCACACATAAAATCGGCTCCTTTACTTGTGCAGAATGTTGCTCACTCTACAGTTTTTAGTTATATTAGTAGTAAAACCAAAAATTCTTCATAATAAATGTTCGTTGGCATCACCTTCGTTTGTGTAATTTTCTAGAACAAGCCTAGAATAGCGACCGTTTAGCTATAAAATAACCAAAAGTGCCGATTGATAGAACTTTTTTCGCTGATTTCAACGATACCAAATTTATTTGGCGCAGGTTAAAAATAGAGAAGATATAAGAGGTTTATCTGCTTTGTTTATTTATATTTTTTATTATCACTTAATTCTTAAAACCCAAAAGTAGATCATGATAAAATATTTATATCGAATTAAAGGTAATAGCTTGTACTTTCTAAATAATATAAATTTCTTTACCATTTATCATGCAGTTCCAAAAAAGGTTATTTCATGAAAAAAAATAACATTTGTTCGTTTTTTAGTGGTTTTGGTTTAAATTAATTTAAAACAATTTCAATTACATATATCAGCTGAAAGATAAATTGATTATTTTTATGGTGACGCTATTAGTTTTTTAATCGGTTATATGGTTCATAAGATGTTAATATTTAAAAAAATCAAAAAATTTAACTTTAACCTTCTAAAACGTCTTTATATTTTACTTGCGCTAAATAATTTTGGCACGGTTGAAATGATCGTAAAAAGTTCTATTGATCTGCATTTTTCGGTTTTGCATAGCTGAACGGTCGGTATTCTAGATTTGTTCCAGGAAATGACGAATAACTTAAATTAAAAATCTATATTTATACGTATTGTTTAGTATTTCCATTAAAAACCCAAATATATTACAAATTCACATAGAATTATTATACACATTTTTTAGTACCTTTCTACTACCGTTTTCGCAAAAGGCGATCACATTGGCTGACTTCCAAAACGTCAATTGCTTTGCATACGTACAAAGTATAAGGTTCCATAACGTCGAACTACAAAATATTGACAATGTATACTGTTCCAAAACGCAGCCGAAAAGTTATCGAACCGCATCGCTGGAGCAATCAGCGCATCAGAAACAAAGTTGATGTTTCGTTTGTTATTGGTTAGCATTGGTGTTTTAGAAATGGAAAATTCAGAAAAATTGTTCATTGCTATATTGAATATTTAAAATATGCAATGTATATGGTTGCAATGTGTCGCAACTCTGCATATACAAACAGTTTGAATACCGCAGTATAACAGTTTCCAAACATTGTATTGATACGTTTTGGAAGTCAGCCATTCTTCCCCTTTCTCCTACTTCCAAAATACAAATCTAGATAAAGGAGTGTCAGATTTGAGCTGTCACAGATTACTTACCCTTGTGTTATTGAATCATGCATGTGTAATAAAAATGCTTATTTTTATTCCTAAATTTAATTTAATCTGAATTATATCCTTACTCATGTTCCTATGTACTTCATACAGAATAGATTAACTACTCGTATTTATTTTCATTGTGTTTATTTGTTTTCGCCTATATTTTCCGTTCGCCGTTCGCCTGTTTTTATTCATCTATATTAATATTATACTCCATCAAAACGGAACAAATGAACTATGCTCATATTTCACGCTTAATCGGTTGGTATTAGTCGTAACAACTCCGTGACGCAAGCAGATTACAGCAAACAGCCGAATAATCCCCATTTGATTGCATCGCCACAAAACATCAATGGCAACAACAACAGTGGTAGCGGAAATGGGGCTTCAAACAACAGTGCCTGCGGTCCATTCAAACCAGTTCCACCGCCGAAGCCTAAAAATTATCGCCCACCAATGCAAGGGACCAAGAGTACCGGCGACCAATGGGAGAGTGGGGTTAGTTTACCTCTGTTCTACAGATACATTTTTTATTTGACAACAATTTCATTAACAGGATTCAGGGTCTCCACGTTCACCAAATGGATCTTTTTATTCACCCATGGGGGCTTCACATCACCATTACTCACAGCAGATATCTGGCTCTCCTGGCCATGGTAATAATAACAACATCCATGCAACATACGGTAGCAACAATTATGTTCAACAGTCACAATACCCGCCTCCATCAGTCCATGGATACGTTGGTAATCACCACTACAATGGCGGAAGCGGAACAGGACCGTATATTGCGCCACATCGTGGCATGCCAGCTCCCATAGGTAAGAAAAGTACTAAACAAATAATTAGTGATACCGAGAACAGCGATTTTCTTATTCATCCAACACCATTTGTTATATTTTGATTTGAACTACGAAAATAATTTCGATCGCCATTTTTAAAAATAGTATCATTCAATAGCAAAAGTCCGGCTAATTTAAAAATCTTCTGGTTAACTAATTTTTATTATTTTAAACTATATATATTACTGATGGATTTGCTAATATTGTTTGAGAGCTTTTTCTATTTCTCGAATGGCGTTATAATCGCTTAATCGACTTTAGCCAAGTTCAACAGAGCAGGCCGAGTAAAGCTAAGTTCCTCTCCACCTGATCTTCCTAACGAAGAGAAGATTCGAAAGACATGGCCTTGCCAGCGAAGCCGCTGTACTTTATTTCGCTGAACTATCTCAATGTCGTTACAAAGCTCATATAACCCATCGTTCTTTCGTCTTCGTTACTCGCCGCCATAAATGGATGAATGGCCATAATAATAATAATAATAATAGATTGGCGCTTACACATATGTTAGTGTTTGGCCGAGCTTCTCCTCCGACTTGTGGCGTGCGCCTTGATGTTGTCACACAAAGCGGGGGGACCTACAGTTTTACGCCGACTCCGAACGGCGATTGTATTTTAATGAGAAGCTGTTTTCCATGGCAGAAATACACTCGGAGGTTTGCCATTGCCTGCCGAGGGACTACCGCTGTTAAGAAAAACCTTTTTTCTATATTTTTTGGGATGTTGTTTTGACCAGGGTTTGAACCCAGGTGCTGATGAGTGAAAGCGCGCACTGCTTACCACTACACCACAGCGGCCGACATGAATAGCCACATAACTTCCAAATAATCGTTATCTTTAACACTCCATTGACCACCGCGTAAGATGATGTCCTCTTCCCTGATTCTGCGCCATTCATCTGGACGATGAGAGACTTATTAAGTGGTTTTTGTACGACGAGACAGCACCTTGTTGCTCGATTGTCTAAGTACCAGCAGTTAGCAATAGCCATTCTTAGTTGGACTTCAAGGAAGACATGGTTATTGGTCAAACTTCAAAATTATAACTGTCAACAGTGACGTGGGTGCCAAGACGCTTATGCTATGCTTTTTGTCGGATGACAGGAGATGCTGGGTTTTGCCCTCGTTCACCACCAGTCCCACATGCTTTGCTTCTCTATCTAATTGCGAGAAGGCAGAACAGCCTTTCTATTTGTTGCTACCGATTATTTCGACGTCATCGGCACACAGTGTGGAAATTGAACTTTTTTCGTGACAAATTCTAATATCTAGGGAATGAGAATAGCTAGCGAAAAAAAATTCAATAGCGTTTTAAGGCTTTTGAGATTAAGAATTGAGGAAATATAGTTTCTATGGGTAAATAAATTTCCTTGACCTTTGAAATGACCTTCAAAGAGAAGGGTTTTCAATATGTTTTCCTTTTTCGACCTGAAAATAGTATGCAGTGTACTTTTTAACAACACAAGTTATTCATTTCCATTTCCATGGTCGAAAGAACCGAAAAACGTATTTTAATTTTTTTATGAATTCATTACATACTATTTTTAGGTAAAAAATACAAAAATCCAAAATTTTCACTTTTGAAGGTCACGAAAAAGTTCAATTTCCACACTGTTAACCGCGGTTGCTAGTACTTTTTACGCTAATTTTAACTATATAAATATTATTTTCCACAATTAAAAAGTAAAGTAGATATAAAAGGTAAAACAAAAAAATTGTGATAGTTTAAAATATTAATATTTTCAAAACTGCGTAACCGATTAAAAGGTAATGATGTAAAAAGAAAGACAATTAATTTATCTTCAAGCTGATATATAAAATGTGTATGCTTTTTTAATATTTCAGCCAAAATATTTAGAAAGTTTTTACCTTTAATTTGATATACATATTATATTATGATTTGCTTTAGGTTTTCAGAATTCAGTGATAATAAAAAATATAAATGCATGTATGTGCAAATGCATATTGTAGTTAATTAAACGGGTTTGCTTTCCATTATGGCCGTTCGTTAAAGGGGCGGTGGGCGAAAGGTAAGTGGGCGTGGTAACTCTAACCCACCTTTTTGGAGAGGGAATGAACCGCCATTGACAAAAAGATAACCCTCGTCCACCTAGGTCCCTATGGTTCCCAAGGGACCCCTTAGAAAAATGGCCAAAAATCACAATTTTCATTTGCGTTTTTTCGCTTGAAAAATGTTAAATATTCATTTGCACAAAACATTTTTATGTACGCATTTTTATAAAACACCCAGTAACCATAATAGACATCAGCCCCAGCCCAGCAGTCCCAGGTTTACCACACAGAAAGCGAATTCTAGTTACCGCATCCTTTCCCAAGGCTACATCACTGTACACACCAAAAGCAGAATACTATTTGGTAAGGGTTATAATCCCTAAGTGCGCCAATACAGAAAGGAGAATTCTACTTAGTTAGGGTTATGATCCCTAAGCGCGGCCGAAGGCCGCCTACGCAGAAAGAAGTTCTGGGCAAAATAAACTATGATATCACCCACACTTGTCACTTGCTTTTAAGTGCGTTTAATTTTTTGTATCACTGAAATCTTAAACCTCAAAAGTAGATCATAATAAAATATGTATATCGAATTAAAGGTAAGAACTTGCACTTTCTAAATAATATATATGTCTTTAGCATTGATTATGCACTTTTCTCTAAAAGAGGTTATTTTATGAAAATATTATAACAATTTATTTATTTTTTAATATTTTTGGCTTAAATATATTAGCAATCAAACACATTTTATATATCAACTTAAAGACAGATTAATTGTCTTTACTTTGATATTATTACTTTTTTAATCGGTTGCGTAGTTTAGAAAATAATAATATTTTAAATATCACAAACATTTTCTTTAACCTTTTATATCTTCTTTACTTTTTAATTGCAACAAGTAATATTTATATGGTTGAAATCAGCATAAAAAGTACTATCGGTGTGCATTTTTAGTTTTTCCATAGCTGAACGGTTGGTTATCTTGATGGGTTCGAAAAATACAACTAAAATTTTTAAAATCAACAACCAAATTGAAAAAGCAATAATATTTTCTCCAATATATATCACGGCCGCAATTTAGTTTGGCATCCCCGGAGTTCCGCATTAAGGTAGCTATGGAACGATAGAGGGAGTTCTCCTGATTGCAAATATATATACTTTTAGCCGCAGCAGGCTTCTAGTTTTTAAGTTATTTGTTGTTAAAGTTTGTAAATTGAACTAACCTCTCGGCGCTATTTCACACAATAAACACTTTATTTATGTGCACACTTCGGCAAAATAGTTGCATTAAAACCCCGGCCTGAGATTTCCACTTTAATATACAATTCTTAATTAATTAATTAAGTAAAACGCGTTTATAAATGTCTTCACAAACGTTTGCACATTTCACAAACAAGCAGAAATAACAATGGCTGACAGTAACACAAAATGTATGCTACCATACGCTAAAAAAATACACAAATAAGTGCGTATAATTAGGAAGCATAAGTGTACAATACGTACATATATTGCTCTTATTAAAAATAATAATATTAGGATCGATAGGGGTCTTACTCCTGATCATAACGGTATTATTTTTTTCGGGTGGAAATAATATTTACTGGTGTTATTGTAGTTCAAATTACACAAATCTAGAAAACGTACATCGTTAATTTGATAAATAATGAAAATTTTTAATAAAAAATCGCGCGATTTCGCCTGCGGCGCTTTTTCCATAAAAATCAGTACTTCGATAAATAATGAAAATTTTTAATAAAAAACCGCGCGAGAGGAAAATTTTTAATAAAAAACCGCGCGATTTTTTATGAAAAATTTTCGCCTGCAGCGCTTTTTCCATAAAAATCAATACTTCGATAAATAATAAAAAATTTTAATAAAAAATCGCGCGATGAAAGTCGATGTTTATCGAAAGCATACTGTGAAACATACAAATAGTAGATATCTAAATGTTATGCACAAATTTACTTTAAAAGAACTAGGGTGAAACTGACTAATTATTTGAAAGTTTATCTAAATTATTCCAATTATAAAATTGTGATGTAGCTTTCATCTTCCGATTAAAATGGATCGATCTTTGTAAATTTTATTTGGAGATTATTCAATATTATCAAAATCACCCTCAACAAACTTAATTTTTACATATTTCGTCTGTTTTCCCTTAATTTGATAAAATACTTCTTCCTAGTTACGACTTAGTTGCAGCTGCAGTCGAAACTAAATTTTAAGTTGGTACTTAGCCAGAAAAGTCGAAACTAAGGCGACTATGAATAGCTTTAGTTGTGACTTAGAATAGTTTCGACTTAGTTGAGTAGTAAATATGACTATGAATATGCGCCTATGTGTTTGTTGTACATTTGTTCATGTTTGTCATTGTGCGTGTAATTTTCTAGAGTAGTTTTGTGCTCTCGCTATCTCCTTGTATTAACTCGTCCTTCGTTGGTATACTCTGATGAACATATATGATAGCAAGGCCAACTTATATAAGGTAGTGTTGCAGGAGCAGTTGAAATTTTCGCCCGATGTTTCTTAAAGAAAGCCATAAACGTAGCGACCGTTGGTTCAACTTGGTGTTGTTTTGCTCTAGATTGCACCGTTTGTTGGCCTGTTGAATGAATTTATGTCTTGGTTGTATGAAAGATCAAAAAATTTGGATTTTCTGGCAAGTTATACAACTTATCACTACATTAATGGCCATGTTGTACAAACTCATTTAATTTGCGTTTATTTTGTACACTTAATAACCGAAAATGATGACTCAGCCGAAATAGGGACGTGCTTTCGTTGAATTTTATAAATGTTAGCCGAAACTATGAAATTGTAAAAATGAGATTTTACAATGAGACTGCTCTCAAAATTGCAATGTTTGCCCAATGTCCAACTTGATTGCGGATTGATTTGAACCAACGTTTTCGGCTTGCATTATGTCAAAAGGATGTGTTTGTTGTAATTCATTCTGTCATTTACTACCATTATGCGTAGGCCAATTCATGAAATCA